GATCGCGTCACACCGAAGACACAACACTTCTTGATCAACGTGAATATCGTCTCTTTCTTGACACCAATTTTTGCACTGAAACAGGTTGAACGGGATGTGGAGTTTCTTCGACTCACTTCTCTCGGAGTCATTGGGGCAATGTCGAAAACACGGGACCCTCAAGTGGTGAAGTACTTAATGGACAACGACGTACTCAACATATGCATTGTCACTATACAACATGCTGCGGAAATCAGTCGAGTTATTTCGTTATTCACTTTGTCAAAACTGTTCAGCGACAACGCTGCGCTGGAGTGTGTGTGTGAGAACCAACAGAGAATAGAGTCGATGGCGAAATTGTTGTTCAAGTCGATAGAAAGCACCATTATGCAAAAGAGGGATATCAACGGGAGGATGGTGAGATACTCGATCTTCTGCCTGAGCAGAATGTCGGACAACCCAAAAGCGACTGTGATACTCCACGACCTTGCATGCGACAACAAGGCACTCTTCAAAGAGCATCTCCCCGAATTTATATACACAAAGGAGCAGTTTTCACGCGTCAAGTTCGAGGAGTTCTGTAGAAATATTAACTTCCCAACTAAATGAATGATGAAATCATTATGTTGTTTCAATGGAGTGAACCCCAAATGTGTTTAGTGGACATAACCATTAACAAGTAAATATACTATAAATTAAACAAACAAGAATGCGCTCATAAGTCGATGAACTGCGTTATCGAGGAGATGACGTCCAAGACAAGGGCTGGTTTGACGGTGTTGAGATAAGAAATAGTTTCAGGCATTTCTATCAACGATTGAAGCTTCTCGATTTGTGAAAGACTCTTAATCGACTGGTTTTTGATTTCATTGAGCACAAGATCGACTTGGGTGGAGTCGAAATTGGACATCCCCTTTTTGTCTGGAAACTCGACAAAAGGGTTCGACAAGTTCAAGCCCGCCATCACTTGGTCGTAGTTGGTTGCAAGTACTCTTGAAAACTCAATTTGATTGCACGTTGCGTTGATCGCATTCACAGAGCTCCCAGGGTGAATGACTAAAGGACCAAGGATCATCGCAAAGTTCTTGAGAGTCATTTTGTGTATTTGCGCGTACTTCACAAGTCGTGCAATCAGGCCATACAATATACTGATGCACTCCAAGTCCTCACGCCTCCCTTTTTGTAAACACTCGATTATGAAAGCGACTTTGTCCTTTTGCACGTTAATGGTTTTGATGTCTTCATAATTGATAAGACTGTTAGTATATTCCCTCAAATACAGTTTCAGCGTCGCGACGACGTTGTGAACATCGGAGGTTTGTTGTTTCATTTGGTACAGAAACGAAGTGTCGCACACAACTAAATTCGACACCTTTTTCTTCGCAAAGTCGGTTTTTCCTGATATTCTGAATATGCCCTCGATGGAATGACCATACGTATAGATCCACCAACACATATTAAAAACGACCTGTGGTATTGCATTATGAGGGTCGTTCTTGTGCACGTCCATTGGGTATATCTTTGGTAATGTGAATGGTGTTGTATCCAATGACACATAAATGCAAAGGACGTTATTGCTCAACGCTGTTTTCATTGTCACGTCCTTTTCTAGTGTTTTCCCGTTGTGATTTCTGAAGACAAGTTGTTCTGTGTTGACGGTTTCTTTCTTTGTTTTCAACAACTTTTCAACAACTTGTTTGAGTGTCTTCGTCAAACACTCTTTCACTGTTGTAACTATGTGACTCTGCAGACACTGAATGTCAAACACCATTTCGCCTTTCTTCGAAGGATCGTCCGATAACAACAGCTTTTGTTTTTTGTGTTCTTCCTTCAAGTACTCTTTTAACTCTTTGTCGGAGAGGACGTTGGGGCAGTTGTCGTCAGAGGCAACTAACATTAAGTCTCTTTTCTCTTCAGAAGTGTTTTTCGACCTCCATGACATTCGCCGATTTTTGTAGACATCCTTTGTACATCCTTTCTTGTACACACTTTGCTGAGTGATCGTCGACATATTGTTGATCGCATTTCGGTTGTATGCCATTGACCCAAATGAACTCACCAAGGGCTCTGCTTGTATCTCGTAAGGACTTTTGATGTAGAGGGATGATCGTTGGATCCTTTCGCGTGTGCTCTGAGTCAACGTGAACTCACTTTCACTTTTCATCGTCTTTGGCTCTTCCTTTTTGGGCAGAACGCTGAAGCGCTTAATCGAAATACTCAGCCTGGCTATCCCGTGGCTCATCCTGTTATAACATTTTCCAGTTGATACTTCTTTTTTGTTTTTCGCGAAATCATCGGAAGTATTAATGCAAAGAAAGTGCTATGTTTTGTTTTTATCTTTTTCTGTTTGGGGTTTTGCAACAATGGGAGTGCATATTTGGCTACAATAACGGGATTCAATCCAAGTTGGCTTTTCTCATTATTGTTTTGACAATTACTTTTTTCAGTTTTCATTTTACTAGTCGGTATAGTTTATTTACTATTCAAATATTGTACACCCCTTGGTTGGCGGAACAAAAAGTGTTTATTGTCGTTTGGAGTTTTGGTTCTGTTTGAGACAAAATACTGTAAATAATACCATTTAATTTAAATCATTCAATTCATACTAATATTTATATAGAATTGTTTCTTATTTATTTTTAAATAACCATTATTATATCAAAAGGAAATGCAATCCATTTGTGAAAATCTATTTTGAGAAAACCGTTAGCCAAAAATTTCCGATTTTTTTTCTTGGATGATTAAAATAATTGTTTTTTTAATGTTGTGATAACCCAATTTTTTAAGAAAAACTCATGGAATATAACAATTAAATGGCAAAACGTTATTTTATTTCCCGTTTCGATTGTTTTTTTTATTTTTATAATTTATAAATTACTTTTTTTATTTGGAAAAAATGTTAAAACTAATTTTGGGAAGTGGTTAAATTCATTTAAGAACTAAAAAACGGGTTTCAGTTTACATCAAAACAATCATTTTTATGTAGTTCTTTTTGGATTTTTTGAATTAAAAAACCCATATAAAATGGTTTTACGAATTATATTTTTATGAATAAAAGAAGAATCTCCGACCATTATCTCAAAAAACTTTTTTTTGAAGTTTTCAGTTAAAAAATTTTAGTAACTTTTAGAATTGTTTGAGCCAAAAAAAATCCCACAGTCCAAGGAAAATACACAGTTTAATAATTAAAATGACTAAAACGATAAATTTATAATAAATAATAGTTTAGATTATAAATTAAGGCAGTCCAAAAAGTTATCATATTTAAATTAATCACGGTTTTTTAAATAAAAAACGGGAAGTATGGTTCAATCAAAAAAAAAATGAAACAATGATTGAACTATTTTTGAATACTTTCCCGAAATATAGCGGTTATTGTCATAATAAAAATGACCAGATATGAATAAAGAATGACAATAATAGTTAATAATAATTCATTGTATAATAATGTATAATATTAATCAAGAAAAAAAAAGTGTTAAAAGACAAAAATATTTATATTAGATTTTATAATACTTTAAATACTTAAAATTTTGTAGATTCAATTCGATATTAGTAAATAAATCATAATATATTAATAATATAATAGTTATAAACAACATCCGAAGTCCCATTTCGTAAAATGAATGGAGTTTTGGAGATAAACACAAATCATAAAAATGATTTATTACCCAAAGGTAAGAAATGAAGAAAAAATGATGAGAAAGTAGACAAAGAAATAAAAAAAATTGCTTAATATCTGAAGTCACAAAACTCACAACTCGGTCTTTTGTTGTTCCTGTTCTTTTTCTTCCTCCTCTGGTTTGACTTCCACGATTTCTTCACTTTCCTCGCTCAAATCTTCACTGTCTTCTGTCGAGTTTGTTTCATTAGAATTTGTTGAATTAGTCTCAACGACCTTTCTGAGTTCTGGGTGTAATATTTCAGTGATATTCTGCAGGAGTTCGATTCGGAGTTTCATATCATCTGGTTGAATATCATCAATATCATTGAATTCCAAGAACTCTTGTTGGTCATTTAATTCTTTAAGTAACTCCTCTTTATTATCAAGTTGGTCTCTGTCGTTGATCTCTTGTCTCAGTTTATAAATCTTTGACTCAAAGGCATTAACCAACTCGCCAAGCTTTTTGAAGATATCGTCGTTGTCTTCAAACCACTTAATGACCTTCTTAGAGACGTCTTCATTTCTCATCATGAATGAGACAAGTGGGTGGAACAACAAATGGAAGTTCACCTTATTTGTTTCATTCTTGACACACTCATATTTTTTGTCTTCCCACTCCGGTGTGAGTACTGTCTTATATTTCTTCTCTTTTGTTTTATTAATAAGAGTTGTATTACCATCTGTTTCATTCAATTCGGTCACATTCTCTTTATTTGTGTTATTATCTACTTTCTCTTCAGTCTTCTTTTCTTCTTCCTTTGTCTCCTCTTCTTCTATTGTAATATCTTCATCCTTCTCTTCTTCCTCTTCCAATCCCTTTTTAAATTGTTCAGTGAAGTCAAACGTCTCGTTGGTTTGTTCGGTGCTATTTATGGTCGAGTTAGTTCCATTCACACTCAACGTTTCATTGTCCTTGACTTCAACAGTCTTATTCACCATTTTATAGACTTTCTCTGTGCAATTTCTCCACGCCGAGAGCTTCACTTCTCCTCTCAAGATGTCCACAAGACCAAAATTATTCAACTTGAAAGTAACGGAGACATTGACTCCATTAGTATTTAGGGTTTCATTTATTGGGATATCTCTCCCAATTCCAACCATATATGCCGTCCTATTAGCGTTGTCATTGTCGATCATTTTATATGACAAAGTGAAGTTGAGTTCAGTAACATTCTTGACACTCTTAAACATGACAGACCTCTCTGAGTCGGCCGATCTCTTATGACTAAACAGTCGAATTTCTTTCTCCAAAAATGGTGACTCCAAGTACCAGTCATAAGGCACAAAGTCCTTAATCTTATACTGTTTTTTCATTCTCCCAAGTCCTTGTGCAAGTGCATAGTACGACGCACCAAAAGCTCCGCCTTCTTCGGCGTCGACATTTCTGTTGATCTTTTCATCTCCAAAAAATTCGGTAATAGTGTTCAGTACCATCGGAACTCGAATTCCTCCACCAAGCAATTGGACCATCTGAATTTGATCCTTTTTTGTCCCAACCGCACTGATCGCGTTCTCCAAAATGTCGTCCAACACTTTTCTTATTGGCTCAGCGGCTTCGACGAACTCGTCTAATGTGATTTTGGTCGACCAATCTTCTCCACCCGGAAGATTGATAGTCACAGTGGTCTCCTTATTAACACTCAACACAATTTTTGCTCGCTCAGATTGTTGAATGATTTGTCTAAAGAGTGCACCCTTCTCGTCCGTGTCCTTCACTTTCGTTTGGATTCTTTTGAAAATAATGTCTGCAATGACTTTATCAAAATTGTGTCCTCCAAAATAGGGTGAAGTGTAGTACCCAAGTGCTTGAATGGTTCCGCTTGTATTTCCGCTCGAGCTGAAATTGAACAGTCCGATATCGACAGACGTCGCTCCGACATCCAAAAAGAGGACGTTTGTGGGCTTTTCAAACAAGTCTCTGTTGACTCCAAGGGACACTGCAAATGCCATTGGAGAGTTGACCAACGCCAACGGTTCAAGTCCGGCCAATTGAGCTGAGTGTACCAAAGCCTTTCTTTCAATAGGAGTTGTTGATGGTGATATTGTCAAGACACCATCTGCAACAGTCGTTTGGTATTGTCGTTTTACGTTCTTTAATTGCCTTTTAATGAGCATTGCAGTGACTTGCTCCGGTGAAAGTGTGATGTTCCCAAGTTGGTACATTGGTGGGCTATTTGGTCGTGTCGCGTTCTGGGGGACAATTGGGCACGGCAAAAAGGTTTGGAGGTACTTCTTGTCAGAACCTATTTTCTGTTGTCCACGTGTACTATAGTTATATAGTAAAATAGTTATCATTTATAGTTTTATAAATAGAATTTGGTGATTCCACGAATCGAATGCAAGAAACAAACTTCGACGAATGGATTGTTGTAACTCTTTCCAAGAAGTTTAGAGGAATACATAAATACTCTTTTTGGTGAGCTTAACGCTAACTTCTGAGCTCGTGACCCAAAGACTCTTCGATTTTTTTGGTCAAGACCAAGAAGACTTGGGTCTTTTCTTTTTGATTCCTCATTTTCAACTATATCGATTTTCTTGGGACCTATGAAGGATGTCTTAGAGAATTGTGTTCCGACATCCATGCCCACTATTGCTGATAAAGTGATAGTAAAGACAAGGAATAGAAGTGTTGTTGTGTGAAGGCGCATTTATAAAAAAAAAGATTTGAGAAACCCTAAAACTTGAAATATTCAATTCAACAGACACTATGCCATTGATCGAAGTTGACTTGTTGAATCCGTCCGCCGAATCACAGAAGAGAACACACAAGCTTAAAAGACTTGTCCAGACCCCAAACAGTTACTTCATGGACGTCAAGTGCCCAAAGTGCTCAACCACTACCACCACCTTCTCCCACGCAGAGAGAGAGATCCAATGCCCAAAGTGCGGCATTGTCCTTGGTACTCCTACTGGAGGAAAATTGAAATTGACTCAACAATGCAAATTCAGAGTCAAAAAGTAACTGAGTGACTTCGGTGTGTTTTTCTCTTCGAGCATTGGCTTTTACACCACTTTCCTTGTTTTTTTAAACACCTTTTCATATCATTATTAAAAGGGTTTCTTAATTAACGTGTTATAGTAAAATAAACTAGTAAATATAAAAAATGTTTTCTTAAAAGTAAAGAAAACAAATCCTTGAAATATAATAAATTGAACTATTAATTGTACTATTTTAATTCAAGAGGAGAAAACACGAAAAAGGAAGTAGACAAACGAAAATAAAAAAAGAGAGAAATAGGTTTGATTCCAGGAACTTGAATTATTAATGGCGTCAAACGACGAGGTCTTTACAACTGTGGTTGACTGTATGGGTCCAGTTTTTCTGCAATACGCGACGTGGATGAAGATGAGGAAATTGGACAAGGAGTTGTCGTCGATGGAGTCTTCATTGAATCGACAAAACTTAGAAGTTGTTTGTTCTATGATATTTATGAACACGTTAAGAGACTGATTTCAGATATGTGAATGAATTAATGTGTAGCTACTTGAGAACGAGGTCTATAAAGCTTGTCTGGATCAGTCAGGTTTAGTTGATAAAGGTATGTTTTCTTTCACAATTTCTGTCGAGTCTCAATAGTCATTAATACTTAAATATATTAATATATTTATATACTAATTACTTAGTAAAAGCACAAAACTTGAAGATGCCCAGACCTCCAAAAGATGAGGAAGCAACAAAGAACGAGGTCGAACTGAAAGAAACGAAGCGTGCGTGCGCACGCTTAGTGGTCGACAACAATGAAGAGAACTTAATTATCGAACTGAATGAAAAGACTGAACTCCCCGTTTACCTTGGGAGAGAGGGAAAAGAATTTAAAGAGAAGGGGACTTTTGTCAACTTGAAGAAATACACCGAGGCCAAAACGATCTCACACCTCCACGCCAAAATACTTTATGACGCAAAGCAAAGGGCTTATACATTCTTGTCGATAGGTCGAAATGGGACGCACGTCGATGGTGAAGCGCATTTGAAGGAGCAAGGTGAGCTTGTATTGTGTGACAGGTCTGTCATACAGATTGGAGGATTTGCGATGAAGATCATTTACTGTTAGTGTGTGTCTGAGTTTGGTTCAAGGATATATAATTAATTAAAATTAATTAAACATTTTAATTCATTTCAATCAAAGAATAAATGTTCTGTCACTTCTCTATTATTAGATGGTATAAAAACTATAAAAGGTAGTGAACTCAAACTCAAGTGTTATGTGGGCCGTCTTTCTATTATCATTAATCAGCAGTGTCTATTGCTATGAAGAGAAGTGGAACAGTTATATGGGAGAAATGAGATGGCATTCATTTGAGGGAGGACTGGAAGAGGCAAAAAGAAGAGAATTGCCAATACTTGCGTTCTTTACTGCAGATGAATGTGAGCAATGCCCCGTCTTCTTCCAGTTTTTTAATGTGAACCCACGATTCAGAAAATTGTCGAAAAACTTTGTGTTGGCAGCACTGGACTCGACTGATGTCTACTTCACGGCGGAACCATTTGATAAAGAGAACTACGCGCCTAAATTTGCATTCTTTGATTACAACGGGAAGCTCTTGCCATTCGATAGTTACGAGAGTGAGGAACACAAGTACTTCTTTGGTAACTTGGAGCTCCTCATGAACGCTATGGAAGATGTTGACGAGTATATGTTTGACGTGAAAAGTGAATTATAATTAATAGTTACGAGAGTTATTTTTGTTACTATTCAAAAGCATTTTTTGGAGATGACACTTCATGTGGATATTAAATCTAATTGTATAGAATGCTGTTAGTGCTTGTTATTTGTGTTGATTAATGATAAAGGAATTTTGTATTAATAAAGATAGTACTGATGTTGATTTAGATGTATAATAAATATGTACATAAAAAACAGAATTGTTGAATAATGGTGTTTAATTTACTATTTGATGGTTTGGGAACAATCAAATATTAATAGGGTAAGAATCAATAAATTGTGGGAATTTGCTGGTTCTTTTTTACATGTCTACATAATAAGATTGAATTAATCAATGAGATTTGTAACTCAATTTACTTAATACAGAAAAACCTCCCAAGAGCGGTACCTCTGAAGAGCGGGTTCTCCCAAGAGCGGGCATTTTTTAGACTGAAACTAAAAATAGAGTTCTCTATCGAGCGGTTTATAAGGTTTGATTGGCTAAAAATGCCCGCTCTTGGGAGAACAAAATTACCACATCTCCCGCTCTTGGGAGGTTTTACTGTATACTTTTTAATAGAATTCTATTGAAGAGATGTTCAAATTACTTTTATATTATTATACTAAATTTGGTACATAATAATTATTATTTTGTGAATAAAAATAATCAAGTCATAACAAAAAATAGATATTTTGTTATTGATTGAACAATTATACCCGAAATAATGAAGTAAAAAGGCGTGTTGAAAAAAAAATACTTTTCAAGTTTAATAGTGATGACATTCTTTGTTTTTTGAAGTTAAAATCAGTTTCCAATCCTTTTCAACATAAAACACCATCACAAGAAATAAAAACACCAATAAAAAGGGTGTTTGAATGAAAGGGGTAATTGATGTTAAAAAAGTGGGAATCAGACCAAAAAACTAGCACAAAAAAGGTGATTTTATGGAGTTTATACATTACGGTTTTAAGTTTATCTCATTACAAACAATTCAAAGCAGATTTTTTGGCTAAAAATTGGGATTCCGGCGGTTCTCAAATAACAGAATTCTTGTTATTGAAGAAAAAGAGTTAATAATTAGTGTTTGAAAACTGCTATTCAGTGCTGTAATTATTGATAATTAAAGACTTCTGTAAAATCAACTATTAATACACAGATGCAGATAGTAAACTAAAGATGAAGATATTATAGGGAAGACAAACATAATATAACTGTAATAAAAATGAACTATAACAATAGTTTTAGTATTACCAAAAAAATGTTTTTTGCACTTTTGGATTGAATTTCTAATAATATTGCTTTACAATTATTCAAACCATTAAATGGTTATAATTAATTAAAAAAATAATTAAGAGATGCAAAAGGCCACTTTTACTTATTATTTTGGCTGACAAACTCAATACTGTTTTTCGAGCAAACCATTTCATAAAAATAGGAGCAAACATACCCCTCGACTTATAGTTATTGTCATCCAATAATTAACTTTAGTTCTATATATATTATTTGTTTGGCTATTTTATATAAAAAAACTAGCTAGAAAACGGGACACACGCACAAAAAACAATTTTGCTGAGCAGTCAGCAAATTTGACACAGATAGGTGTGAGGAGTTGGCAACAGTAAAGAGGAAAAAAGTCGTGAGTTAAATGTCACAAAAACAGTAAAAAAAATTATGAAGGTACGGGAAGTTAGCTTTTTAAAGTAGTCATTTGACAATTGAAAGAGAGAAAAAAAACGAAACAAGGGGTATGCTAAGGCAAATCTGTATTGATTGAGCAGTTAAGTACAATTTCGGATATCCTTAGTCATTTATTTCCATATCCCAGAAATACGATAACATATTGGAAGTCATAAAAAGGTAATAAAAGAAACAATACAAAGTGGTACATTTTTTAAAAAAGTTAAAAAATGGGAGAAATGAAAAGACCCATGAGAAAAAGAGAAGACGGAAAATGGGAAGTGAAGAGAGAGGCAAATTAGTCTTTAAGAAAACTCACCCCTAAATCAAAAATGTATTGAGGTTGTTCGTTTATTAGTTTGATTCATTGGACGTGTGATATTAAAGGAGAGAACTCTGAAGTTTATTTCATCGATGGAACAACCATTAACCAGTCGGCCACTGATCTTTGATGATGAAAATTCACTCTTTTCGCTTCTAGAGGAGCAACAAGGCGATTTTGAAGTGATCAAAGAACGGATGTGTGAGACGCCAAAGTACTTTCAAGAGGCAAAAAACATGGTGTCGGAGATGAATAACAGCATCGATTCTTACTTCAAGCAACTCGACTCCCTCGACTTCACTTTCGACGAAAATGATAAAGAACGCGACTTACTTCCATTCTTACCACCCTTTGACTCGCAAACAAACGAACGTGTCACGGGTTCAAAATAGTTGTAAATTTGTTGTTTTGTGTGACTTGTCTTGCCTTGCCTTTTTTCTTGTTTTCGTCGAATGAATGTCGACCTTTACTATAACTTTAAAGTCGAAAAACTGCAACAAACTCCGTTTTTGGTCAAAATGGCAGCCATTTTTTTACCCAAATTGTTTAGTAAATTATAATTATTTTATAACAATTTAATTCTCGTCTTTGATCGAAATAATTCTCTATCCGAAGTGGTTTTCATTCCTTTTGTAAATAATAAAACTATTTAGAATTATTACTTAATTAATTACTAATGATTACTCAATTAATTGTTAGTGATCTAATAGAATAATTATATAATAACACTGATTTAGTTTTTTTACATAAAATTATAAATAACTAAATGTTATAGCTCTTTACTATTACAATTTTAATAAATGCTAATAGTAAATAATTACTATCGAAAACACAACTAGTTAATCAAGTAATCAATCACTTTTCATTACGTAGTCGTTGAGCAAGTCGAACGAGCCTGTACCGAAAGTCGTGTGCTTTCCAAGGGTAAGAGTGCTTGACGGGCTGTGGAGATTATCAATTTGCCCAGACATACAAGCTTTGGCCAAGAAACTGAGTGACGTCTCAAACGTGATTTTTGTGAAAACGGATGGGTTACTATCCATACCACTTCTGTTCAATGGTTTATACTCTCCTTCAAACATCATGGCATCACCAACAAGATTCAAGTGTCTCGAATCAACTTCAATACCATACGCTCTAAAGACACCTCCTATCTCGTTTATTAAGACAGCTCGAGCGGCTTCGACACCATAAGTCTGCGAGACCGCGTAGACGTCATTCGACTCTATCGTGTTAACATCGACATACTCCGCAAACTCTGCCATCTTCCGTAAGTTAACACCTTCAGTCATGACGTAATACAACGTCTTCCCGTCTTTCTTTTTGGTCAATGGAAGACCTCGTTTGATCTTAGGACATTCGTATAAGACAATTTTAGTGATGACTTTCTCGACCACAGAAACCATAGACACTTTGTCGTTCACACCAAGTGTGATTTCAACTTCTAAGTTCTTCACTTCTTTTGTTATTTTAGTCTTGTTCTCCTTCTTCTTTGGCTTCTTCTTCTCATCTTCGCTCTCCTCACTCTTATCAGTCTCCTCAGACTTCTCAGGTTCTTCCGACATATTTTTATCAACAGACTCTTCAGAAGACTCGTCAGACTTCTCGTCTTCATCTCGAGTAGCCTTCAGTCCTTTCTTGACCTTTTCATGCTTCTTATCCGATTCTTCTTGAACAACAACTGCACCAGTTTCTTCATTACCTGCGTCGTTGTAAGTCACATCATTAACATCCTTGATTTTCAATTTTTTTACAATTTCCGTATGGATGGCACCTTGGATCTTTTCGACTAATTGCTTCTCTACAAATTCAACAAGGGTTTTATAATTTGACACAAGTTGGAGCTTGACGTGGTATTTTCTCTTCCTGACACTTCCCTCAGTAACAATGGAATCGATACAAGTGATGCCTTCAACAATGTTATCCAATGTGACTTTCGTAAGTTTCTTAGCGAGGTCTTCCGTGTTCTTTTGATTTGGGTCATTCAAGTACAAGACCATAGATGGCGTGGAAATGTTTCTTTTGGCAAACATGACCAATTCCTTCATTCTTGGCATACCAAGCGTGACGTTCACATCACCTCTTCCAGCAAGATGGAATGTGTTCAGCGTCATCTGTGTTGACGGCTCTCCAATGGACTGACCAGCAACAATCCCAACTGGCTCTCCCGGGTTCACCAAGCACTTGTTGTACCTCACCATCATCATCGTACGGAACTTTTTCTCGTCAAGTCTACCTTCCTTGAAATCTTTGTTCTTATCTTCTTTGATATATTGGTTGACCAAGTTGTAGTACTTCTCACTGCATGCAGCCAAATTATTACCCGGTGAATACACAGAGAGGACTGGGTCGTGTTTTTCGGGATGTTTTGAACAGTCTCTGTGTAACTTCATAGCTTCTTTGTACCCGTCCTTGAAAGATCGAGCAATAGAAGCAGTGTCGTACTTCGTCACAATAGCCTTATAGTTCTTCGCCCAGAAGTCAATGTTATTCAAAAAGGCGCTCTTCATAACGTCGATGCCATCATCACCGTACATGAACTGGACAATTGACCCATCGGATTCTCTTACTGTATAATCATATTCAACATGTAACGACTCCATCATCTTAATAATACATCGCTGCAAATACCCAGAGTTGGCTGTTTTGACAGCAGTATCAATCAAACCTTCTCTTCCAGCCATACAATGGAAATAGAACTCTTGTGGAGGTACACCAGTCAAGAACCGAGCTGCAATGAATCCTCCAGCTTTAGCTGACGCGTCATATCTTGGGAATGACGGCAAAGTCTTTCCCGTCGCCATTATAGGTACTCTTCTGCCTTCAAGTTCTTGTTGTCCAAGTAAACAAGTGATTTGAGAATGATTCACTTTCGAACCTTTAGCTCCAGTGGTCGTCATCAGCGCAAGACAATTCCATGGGAATGCCTTCAATTGGCCATTAGGAATACATTCTTTGATTACTAAAGAAGTGCAATCATTCACTTCAGACTTGACGGCATTGTCCAAATCCTTCGCAGATTCAACTCTTCTTCTTGCATTAGAGAACGCTACATCTATGTCAAATTTACTTCTCCCAGTCAATCCAAAGTGTTTTGCTGTGGCAGCACGAGACACTTCATTGGCTTTGTTAAGCAATTCCGTTCTTTTAGCATCAAATTCTGGAGTCAACATACAGTCATCCAATGAACAGGTATGCCCCACTCGCTGCAAATAATTCGTCAAAAGTCGTGAGAAAATGGACAAGCAAAGTCCCGCAGTCTTCGCATTGTATAACTCATAAATGCAGTGAATCAGTCCACCATTAGAAGCACCAATTTGATTCTTATCAAGCGTTCCAGTGATCAAAACAGACTCTTTAATGATGCACTGACTGTCATTGGCACCGTCCCACTTCTCTCTGAACCCATCTTTCTGTGTTCGAAGTTTCTTCTGTTCTTCCGTCTGATATCCACCTTCTCCAATTTCGTTCGTCGACACCTTGCATTTACCAGTAAAGTTGATATGTGGCTGGTTAGTTCCGACATGGAGTAAAATAGCAGAAACAACTTGTTTTCCCGTCCAGAGCATAGTTGGCTTCAGAATAGTTGGTGTTGGTAATGAGATGGAATACGATTCATTGACACCATACAGCGCATCAGAAACAATTTGGCAGAATTGTTCTCTGTTAAAGAACGTGTTTCTCTTCGTGAGCATAAACGATGAGATGATATGGTCTTGGATCAAGCCTCTCAAAGGTTGTCCATTCTTTGGTACCACGTACTGCTCGTCACTCAGTGCGATGTTCTGAATTTCACTTCTCGCAATGATACTCTGTGGCAAGTGCATATTCATTTCATCACCATCAAAATCGGCATTAAATGTGTTACAATTCGAGTAATGCATTCTCATGGTCTTTTCAACTTTCAATACTTTGACGTAATGACCCATAATTCCAGGCTTGTGGAGTGTTGGCTGTCTATTAGTCAAGATCATATCCCCATCAATAACGTGTCTCCTGACGGTTTTGAAGTTTCGTGGGGCAGTCGGATCAACTGCAAGCAATCGGTCAGCTTCACCTTGTCTCTTAGAAACAGAATAAGGGTCGGAGTCGTCCGGTAACAAATAGGTTTTACCCCATTCATCTTCTATAGATAGAGCGCCGGGCCAAGTCATTGGGCCATTGACAACAGCCTTTTTCATCTCTTCAAAGTTTCTTTCATTGACTGGCGTTGCGACAGAAAGTCTCATAGCGAACGGCATAGGAATACCAAAAGTGTTCGTTGGGATGAAAGGGTCTGGTGAGATGACGGTTCTAGCCGCATAGTTAACTCTCTTACCCATCATGTTTGATCTGAAAAGACCGACTTTATGTTCCAAAGTAGTTTTGATAGAAGCAGGCATACTCGAGTCTTTGTTCAGAATAAGTTGGTTATATCCTTTCTGCATGTTCTCTATCAACATATTCTCTGTTAGTGTGATTTCTTTCTTTCCTCGTTTCAAGTGCAAGTTCTGACTGTTTTCAATAATCGCCTTGTAATAAGAAGTCTGTGGATTATCAGAGATCATGTTACCAAATCGATTCAATGGTCTAAAGCGTGAAGGTGGGATAGGAAGGCACTCAACAAAGAACATGTGGTACGACGGTAAGATCACATCCAATTTGTCACCGCCACGCATTTGCGTGTAACATAACCGACTCAAGACTTCCTTCTGCACTTTATCCTTTTCCCAAGCTTGTTTCAAAATGTTCATAATAAAGGATGGGGTCGTGTCATACTTTTTACCATCTTCCTTGGTAGATACACCAGCCGTCTCTCCATAAAACCAAATGGAATACTTGTTGTCGGACTTTTTGATCTTTGGAGATATCTTTCCACAACACGGGCACTTCTTTTGTGATAAGCTAGCCATGTGCATCAGAAACGATTTCACAACGTTCCTCTTTTGAATTTCAGTGTGGATGTATCCCGGTTCTTTTTTGATACGTTTTGAGCATTCATTCTCAAAAATCTTGAGTAACTTATTTGAGATGTTCACATCCGTTTCGTAGTCGTATTCTTCATTCTCTTGTTCATGTTTTAACTTGCCTCGAGAAGCATTTGCTCTCATCTGAACTTTCTTTGCTTCTTCAGCCAATTCATTGATTGCTAAGGCACCACCAATATCATTTTTATCAAGTCGTGCAAGTTCAATGGCAACCCCTAAAAGGGTTTGTTGTGATGCTTTTAAGGTGAAACACTCCAAACAAATTGACCTTAAAAGAAGAATCAATTGGTCGAACATAAGTGGGTTATACATAGGTTCTTCGAGTTCAAAATGACCAAAGTGGCCTGGGCAATTGTCTTCGTTCAACCCACAAGTGCGACATACACCTCTTCTTTCAATGACACCAAGTGAAGGATCGTACAATCCATTTTCTTCAGGGTTTCCTAATAAATCAAAAGTTGCCCCCTTTGTCACTTCTTTCACACTCAAATGTCGGATTTCATCGGCCGAATAAAAGTCGAAGGACGCTTGACTCAAGTCGACGGGTTTGTCTTGAAACGTTTTTCGCAACTCTTCTTGCGACATTGCTTTGTTATAGAGTTCAAACCCTCGAGGTTTTCTTATCGTCCTTTTTTTGTATTTTATTGGTTATATATTCTTTGTGGAAATATTTTTTAGGGTTTCAATGGGTGTTGTTGGGAGCGTTATTTTGCAATTAATTCAACAAAGAATTCAATCAAATATTCAATTAGATGAGCAAACATTTATCTTTTGAGGAACTTGTAGAGATGGAAGAAAAGGCGGCTCAAAGAAAAGAAGAGAAAAAGACAAAACCAATACAAAAACAAGACACTTGGCTCGACGAACCCGCTAACAAAAACGTGAAGAAAAAAACAACACAAAGGTATGAGGGGGATATCACGGGACAAGCTTACCACGCGTATGAAAAGAAGATATCATGGCTTGACGAAGAGAAAACAAGAGAAGGATATGATGCGTATAAAAATGACACAAGTCTTCAAGCGAAAGTTGGAGAGGGGTATGTCTCCGACGAGAAACTCGAACTTCTCAAGAAGCAGATGAAAAAAGGGTCTGAAGACGCACAAAAATTCCATCGGAAGAGGAAGGAAAAAATAGTCAGATGCGATTTTATTAATGACAAAAACAAAAAATTCAATGAAGCAGCGAGTAAAGCTTTTGACAAATATACAGAAGACATTAGAGACGCTTTGGAACACCCATAACTATTTGTTTGTATTTTAGGGGTATCACTTGTTTTGTCCTATTTGCTTGGAATATTTTCTCTCTTTATACTTTTTAATATATTAATATATACTATATTTATAGTATATCTTTATACTGTTATATAATATAGTATAAATTATTAATTTAAATTTATAATATTGTAAAATTTTTTAATAAATGTTTTTAATTCTTGTTTTTAATTTTTTAACAATTTCAAACACTTCAACTTGCTTTGTTCAAAAAAAGTGTTTGAAATTGTGAAATAGAATTTTGGGGTTTTTAGGATATAAAATTATGAAAGTTATAAAAGTATTTAAAATATTTTGACCAGAATAATTGTTTAAGTGCAAATTTTTCACTTTTTTTGTTTTTAAAACAAATTAACTTTTTTTTAAATATATAATTGGTTAAATATATAATTATTAATTATTATAATATTAATTAAATTATAAAAACTAAAAAATGTCAATACAAATGGTAAAATACATTAATAATGATACCATAACTGTGATTGGTAATTTATTGATGGGTAAAAAATATGTTTTGGTTAAAGTAATTAAATTAAAATTAAATTCATGGAAATTTGATATGAAAATAATGAAAATTTAACTATTAATAATAGTATTTGTAATTATAAATATAATTATATAATTAAAAACATTGTTAAATTTATTTGATATTGTTAATCAATTAGTTATTGTTTTTAAATAAATAAAATGTTTATAATTTTTTATTCATTTTAACTTGTATCGATTTTAAACATTTTGAAGCAAGAAGTCAACGTTATGGGGTTTTAAATTTAAGTTTAAATATTAATATAATTATTATTATATTTTAGTTTAATACAATCATATGATGATTTTGAAACAACTAATATTTATTTAATAAAAATTACATATTAACTGGTTTTATCAAAAGAAATGAGGAAATTAAACTTCATAATTAATAATAACTTGTTAAAATGTAAATATTATTAAATACAAATTGATAGTTTTTTAAAATATAATACAAACAAAAAAAACAATTATATAATTATAATTTATAGATTAATATACTTAGAAGAAATGTAATTTCCATTCGAAATATAAATCCAATTCAATGAAATGAAAGGAGATATTTTTTCATAAAAATGGTTAAAAATAGGTAAATTCCATAACTGGATGATACAAACGCGTAGTATTCTGTATACCAATATAATTGTTTTCGTTGAATAGTTATATAAAAACAATATATTTTGATCAAAAGATTAAAAAGTATACCAATAAGCGAGTTTAAGGAAGATAATAGGTTTTTTATTCGAGAATAAACTGATCTGAGTATACATACATCACTATGTTCTGTCTTTTTATCGTTTTTTTCATTTCCCAAGTTATTTCATCAAACAGTTGTTTTGTATGTTTTCTCTATCAACAAAATTGTATTGACTGATAGGATGGATACCTTGCAAGCACGTTATCAACAATTTCTGAACACATGATGGACAATGCTACTGTTTCACTGAACCCCCCATGTGTAATGTTAAATATTGTTCGTAAAGAACAAGACACAATCCCATTTTGTTTTATTTCAGAGGAGATGTTTTACGATAAGTATAAAGGGCATACACAAACCATGTGTGGGTTATGTCTGAATTTGCATGGAGCCTCACAAATGTCTTCTGAGTGTATGGTAGTTGGCACGTTCCATGTTAACTCGACTTCTCAAAGAAATCAATTTATGATTGGAGACTTGATGTTCGACGTTTCGAAAGTGGTGTTGTTAGATGAAGAAGTTATTGCAAGACTGTCTTCGTCAACCGCAGTTGTTAACGCGCTGATTGGTGAAGTTACAATAAAGAAAGAGTTGTGTTATTTGACGTTATTGCCATTTATCATACCCAAAAGGCATCAAGACAATATGGTACAAGTCCAGGCAGTTGGTGTTCAAACACCAATTCATATTCTTCAGATCAACAAACAGGAGTATTACATGGATGACACGTCTAACTTCTTCATTCCTTTTGGGAAGTACGTGTTATATGCCTTCGACACTTTAGGAAACAACTCAGTCAAATTTAATACCAAAGGCTGGGACTTCACAACAAGACTTCCAGCTGAAAGTACATTTGTGATTGAGAGCAATGACACACAATGCGAATACAGACCAAGTAATGTCATTTATAACAAAGAAACATTCGACGGGACACTTTCATGGGCTATTTATGCATATTCGCTCGAAAAGGATTTGTACTTCCAATTACATCCGGACGCAAGTGGTATCAAATTTAAAGCTGTGTCGACGGTCACTGTCATTAACATTAGGTATTTGTCGACTTTAATATTCTCCAAACATTTCAGTGAAATAACAGCAACATTTATTCATGATGGAAAATATCATTTTCAATACTCACAATTGGGCATGGGTGCTGTAAAATCCAATACAACTGAAAAGCAGTTTTTGTGTAGTCCACTCGATGTAATCTCGTCTGAAACTATTGACAGTGCTACTGGAAATCATATTCTGAAATTGAAAGCGTCGATGGATCACAGGTGTCGAAACTTCGGTTTGTTTTTAATGTTATTTATACTCAAAATCGCACTAACAGAGAGGCAATTTTATTATGTTTGTATTTGCAGCAAGTGAAGGCGCAGAAGTAACAATTACTGATTTGACGTTTGTCCGTCGTCAGTCTCAAAAGCGTGAAAACGAGTGCTCTTCTAAACAGTTTTTATGCCAAAATCATGAGTGTAATTATATGTTTAATTCGTGCACAATAGAGTGTGGGTATTGTCGCGCTGGTTTCACTTGTTCTGAAAGTGGAAGTTGTTTGGTCGATGATAATAACAATATTCGAGACTTCAATTTGGGAGTAGAACTAACACTTCTCGTTGTTTTTCTTATTGCTCTTTTATAACTGTTTTAGTTTATTTATAGTTTAGTTTATTACAAATTATAGTATAATAATGTAATAAAAATGTTTAATATAAAAACTAAAATTTGTAATACAAGGAGCGAAACTCAAAACTTGAATATCAAACACTATTATGAGTCAACCAATGGAGGTGATTAACACAATGGCCGAAGATGACATGTTTGAGGTTTTCGACCCCAAAATCAAACTTGAAGACGCACAAAAAAATGCTATCAACTGGCAGTCGACTTGGGAAGACCCGCAATTGAATGTGTTCAACGATAAAATCAGAGCTGCTTTAAATTGAGTGTTGTGTTCACTTTCATTTCAATTTTAGAAACCACAAAGAATCTTAATATACACTTTTGGCTTTTTTGTATATATCAAATGTGTTCTTTTTGGATTTCGATTTTATTGTTCTTGATATACACTTTGGTTTGGTCACTCGTAGAGTGGGTTTTGTCGCTTGTTTGATTTCTTGATCGACTTTTTTGTCTTTTGGAAGTTTAAAGAATTTTTCAAAGAGCTGTCGCATTTGTGGAGAAAGTGTATCACATTTTGTATGTTGTTCTGAATAAGACTCCAAATCTTGTGGTGTGTCAACACACTCTTCATCGTTTCCAAAAATATCAAAACAGTCAATGTGTTGTAATATTAAGTCTTTTTTTAAATTTGATTGTGTAGTTTGACATATTTCCTCTTCAAGTAAAATGGTTTTGATGTTTGAATCATTAAAGCAGAATGTTTTTTCATTTCGGTTCGCCATTCTCAAAAGTTTGACATCGTTGATGTAATTGTCTTTAAGCATCAACAAGTCTGTTTTAATTACAGGATTCTCATTAAACACTTTGTATAGTTTCGAGGTGTTTTGGTGTAACGGGTGATTTGTGGAATCATACTCCATTGCTTTTTCGCGAATGGGGAGTGGGATATTATACCCTATGATTTTGATTATTATATAATACGTCAAGCTTCAAACTTGGCTATTCATAGAATTTTTATTTATTTTATTTTAATTAAAAATAACAAATTGATAAAAACTGATAAAAGTAAAAACTCTTATAATTAACTATTATTAATGTTAATTAAAATGTTATTCAATAACATGAATAATAACAAAAATAGTATAATTATAAATACGAAAAAAATTGTTTATTTTTTTCGCATATTTAATTTCTTATCATAACTCTAATTATTTTAAATAGTAAAACAAAACCAATGTATTTGTTTTGCCAATCAAAACAAGTTAAGATTGGTTATTATAAATAGAACAATTTTAGTTATATTATAGTTTTTAAAACAGGGTTGGCATTTTTATCTTTGTTGTATAATTGCAATAAGAAATTAGCAAAAAAAGCCAAAAATAATGGGAATAAAAACCTAAACGGAAAAAATGCGACAAATAACAAGGGTTTCAAAACAGACAAATGCCATTATTTTTTAAATAATGACATTAATATTTTATTAAAAAACATCATTAAAAGAACGGGATTTTTTGCTGTTAGGAAATATTTAGTATAATTTTTTTTTACTAGAGTGAATAATATTTTTGTTTTTGTCCCGAAAAATCCGAAGAAAATAGATCAATATATATCGAAAAAATGGGTGAAAAACTAAAATATTGTTTGTGTGAAAATAGTTCGTTGGATTATTTCCAGTATTCAACGAAAATCGAAATAAAGAACTAAAAACAACTCAAAATGGTTTGCGGCACATTATACATTTTTGGCAAAACATATAAATAGACAATCAAACTATAATACTATTATAATAAAAACAACTATTATAGGATTAAATATCAAAGAAAAAAAAAGAATAAATCAAAAGAGGGATTAAAAATATGAAAATGGCAAGTGTGGTTCTACTTTTTTGCAGAACAAAGAAGTAGAGTCAAAAGGAAAGTAGAGTTGTTTGTGTAAAAAAGGAGACAACGAAGATTCGGCATCTCAAGACGGACCAAACAAACTGGAAAAGAACCGGAAAGAAGAAGAGAGAAGGAAAAACGCGATGAAAGCAAGTGAGTGGCGAACTGTGTTTTATAGAAGATGTCAAAAGCAGTTATTAGTAGCAACTTGGACAACGATACATTGTCTAAAACACTAGAAAAAGGTGAATTTGAAGCATACCCCGAGCGCGACTTTGAGGATGGTATACACGACTATATATCCGAGAATGAAAACGTTGATTTAGACGTGGACATCGAACACTCTGATGACAAAGACTCTGAGATTGATGAGGATGAAGTTGCACGTGAAAATGGAGCTGAGGTTGCTTATAAAAGTAAAGTCGTCAAAATAGTGAGAAAGACAGATGAAGAAGATAAAGAGGAGCACAATGATGACCAGATAACAAAGGAAGAGATCAAGAAGGTGAAAAAATTGAAAAAGACTAAGAAGGGATTTACTGTGGAAGATGTCATTGCGAGGAACTTTCAAGAGCTGTTGCTCCAAGAGAAAGAATTCCACCGGACTGAAGTTGGAGAGATGAAAAGAACAAACAAGACGTGGATTAAGATTGCGATCAACTCGGTACTCCTCGGGTTTTCACTCACCAATTCACTTGTTGGTGCTGGTATTTTGTCGCTTGCATTGACTTGCTACAAAATGGGGATAGTCGGATTTTTTTTGTGGAACATAGCGACCATCGTGTATTTCTTAATCACTTGGTATTACTACAACAGAGCAATTTACATCACAGGAGCGGCAACCATGGGTGAGCTGCTCTCGATGTTTTTTGGGAAGGTTGTTGCGATCATCGTGGATGTCTGTAACACGGCCTTCTACTTTTGTGTGTTGATGATTTACCAAGTCATTGCTACACAGTACCTCTTTGGTATTATCCAAGACTTGACTTCTCGAGATAAGTTCAGTTATACAATGGACACCTGTTACGAAGGGAAAACAGCGGGCGTCTACTGTAAATGGCATTACATCATTTTGTATTTGGTTGCGGTGTTGCTCAACTTCCCATTGATCATTCCCAAATCCGTGAAGTTCTTGAACAGGATATCTATGTTAACTGTCATCTCTGCAGTCATTGCGTCGTTTGTTGTGTTTGGTAAGGCCATTTACTTTGGGGCGAATGACAAATCGTCGAATGGCGACGGGACCAATAACATCCCGACATTTAGTGGAAAGTGGTGGCCGTCTGGTGTGATGGAATTCTTCACGATGGCGCCGTTTATAACTGCCGTTTGTTTCTTTCGAACACATGTTATCGAGTTAGACTGACGAAATAGAATTTCCAAATCCATTCCTGCCTTCCACCTTTGTTTTCTGGGACCAAAGGGATGTCTAAAAAGACCAAATTAGTTGCGTTGCAAGGGGGTTCCCTTGTTTCGATCTGCACGTGCGCCTTTTTGTATTTGTTGATGGCGATCAGTGGGAATGTGTCCTTTGACAAAGTGTCTTCGAATGTCCTCAACGACTTTTCCAATCCGAATAGCACGGAAATTGATTGGCTGATCATTGTGTCGAGAATATTAATGATTATCGTGGTTGTCATTTCATACCCTGCTTTGATGTTCCCGACCTGTGCGGGTATTTACAGATACCTTCCGAAGAAGTGGAAATTCACGACCATGTGGAACGGCAGAGTTGCGATCATGGCAATCAGATTCACTATTTTATTATTGACTACCCTCTTTGCCTCGTTCTTGGCAGATATCGGTGTAGTGTTTTCAGTTGCTTCTGCCATCTTCTCCATATTTGTCGTCTACATTTGCCCGATGAGTATCATGATGTTATGGCCGCGGGTTGAGAAGTTTGGGTCTCCCGACTTCAGAAAACTGTCAGTCATTGACAACATCATTTACAACAAAGTCGTTGAAGGCAACCAAAAGTTCTCGCAGAACGATATTGAAACTGCACTTGGGAAGGTCGAAGCTGAAAAGAATGAAGGAGTTGCCGATGTTGTTCTCACGATTAACACCGACGCCACTGGACAACAAGAAATCGAGTTGGACAATATTAAAGAGCAGAAGGATAACGAGGAAAATAAGAAGGAGGTTGAGATTGATGGGAATAAGGTCAACATTGCAGTCAACCCGGAAACTGATATGGATGTCGACATCATGAAAAACAGACACAAGTGGATTAAGCTACCCGACGCTCATGTCCCGATTTGGAGATATTTAGTGTTCATCCCATGTATGGTGATTTGTGTGGGTTTATGCATCTTGTCGGTTGTCGGGACGATTTTGGACGAGGTCAAGTGAAAGTCAATGTGAAGAATAATTATTATTTTAGTATTCAGTGTTGTTTCTCTTTTTATTTCACAATATGAAAGATTGGATTGCGTCCACTCATAATGTCTTCACTCTATTTACAATCACAATCTATGGTGAGATTGAAAAATAAACTCTTTAATTTGTATTTATAATATTTTTTACTAATAATAATAGCTTTTATACATGTTTTGTTTAATTTTGCTTAATCAATAAGTTAATGATTTATTTAATGAAGGTATAGTAATAATAAATAATAATGATATTATGATTAATAGATATAATATTAATTAATATTTGTAGTAAAAAAGTTATAAAGAATGATGCGAGTGTGATTAACTCGAAAGAAATTCATACCATTTGTTCGAGTCCTGGTGTGTTGGAACACCGACTTAACTATTATTACTCTCACTATGTAAACATGTTGTATCACATCTAGTGATCTATATGAGACGTCCTCAATTTGAACGATTGAGTGTAAATAATAAATGAATTAGAACTCACTGTGTTACTGTGCACACTCAATTAATGCCATTGACGACCAAGATTTGCGGCTCCGTATAATCGAATTGGACATTCTCCGTTGTTATCAGGATGAAAGCGATGATCGAAAAGACCATCACAAGAAGAAGGAAGAGGAATGTCACGATGTACATTGCCAAGTTTTGTGGAGCAATTCCGAGGAAGGGCATCACTTTGAATTGGAAGTATTTTAAGTTCTTTTTTTTATTTTCTGCCATTCCATCTCTTTTTGAATCCACATTTTTTTCTCTCAAGCATTTCCGACATATTATCTCCACGTCTCATTTTTTCAATCAATTTTCAATCTGATGATATGATTTTGCTTTTTAAAATCTTTTTTTATTATTTTTTTTTCTTTCTGTATTGTTTTTTTTATTGTTTTGGGTGTTAAAAAGTTAAAATTGCTTTTTTTTGTTTTTTTTCTTTAAATAAAAAACAATTCAAACTTAATAAATATTAATAAATATTAATTAATAATAATTAATGATATTTGAATTATAGCATTTTTTGGTTTACTATTAGCAATACTATTTCTCCCATCTGCAAAATGTGGTATCCAAGTCACTCCTCTCTAAGAAAAAATGGAGCGTTATAATTACGAATAACAAAATGAATAACAATAAAACAGTCACAACGCAATTTTACTGACGCATTCCGGGATGTTCAAGTCCGTCAAGAATTGAACAAAATACAACGAATTTGCCTTTGAACACCCATACAATATATTCTTCTGTTCGGCATGGAATGAGCACCGGTATTCCTCATTAGGGTTTAAGGTTAGCATTGGCTTAACGACTCTTGATAAATAGTTTTGGTCGATAACAACACGTTTGAGAGAGAGCATTGTCTGGACAAACTCGTCGAGAGGAAACATAACCCTAAAAGCACTCTCCGCTAGTTCGTTGCCTGAGACGTTTGCTTGTCGCGAGATGTACTCGACACACTGCATCGCACGTGAAAACCCCTTACACACGACGACGGGTTGGAACACGGAGCTTGTCAAGTCGTTGATGTACTTATTCATCATTTTCCACACCATCACAAAGTCCGTTTCTTTCTCGGGGTTTGTGATGTCGTCGATTTGGTGTTCTGTCTTTGCGTGTTGCTTTGCTCGCAATTTATAATTGTCGGGGACTTCCGGTCGAAGGATTTTTGTATATGGGTCGAGAGATTCTGAGGGGTTGTTTGGACGCAACGCGGCAATTGAGAATTCGATTGGGACGGTTGAAAATTGGGTGGTGTAACAGTACTGAAAGTCTATCACAAAAACTGGCTGATTTTTTGCTTGGTCGCCCAAAGTCTTGTAGTACTGTGTGATGATAGGTTCCCAATGGCACGCCATTTGTTTTTATGAGTTTTGTACTATACATCTGGAGTAATATATCGGATGACAATTTATCTTCGACACTCCAAAAAATAACCCAAAACACAGGCATCAATCAATTTGATATCCGATATAATACTATCATAACTTTCTAATAAATATACTATTTAAGTACGTTTTGGTGGTGTTGTGTCTCTTCGACTTGCAATCCAGTCTTTTCAGGTATTTGATTGTTTAATTCTTCCTTTTGGACTTCACTCTTTGGTTTACCTTCTTCGTCTTGCATAGGCCTTGGCTTTCTTTCTTGCCTCTTTAATTTTTTATGGAGATTTTTAGCTTTATAAGCTGGTTCCAAGACACTTCTTCTTTTAGTAACGAGTGTGTGGACATAGGCCTGAGCGTTAGAAATGAATGTGAGGTCCTCAGCAATAGTGTCGTCGTTCATTGCTTCGACAGACAAATATTCCATTGGTTTCTTCTTGCAATGTTCTTTGTGTGTCTTAAAGCATGGTACCGAACAATACTTTTGTAGACAAATGGGGCACGTGTACTTCGCCAGTTTGTCACAGACGACGCAGTGGGTGTTGTCTTCCATCAGTGCAATTTGTGCTTTTGAACTCTATTCAAGGAAAACTATACCAAAACTATATTATAACAATAAAAAAACTACAAGTAACCTAACAGGAAAGAACTGATGAAAACCTAGGAACTGGAATGCCAAGTCGTCCATGTCGAGTGTCAAACAAGCAAAAAAGACGCAAGAAGGAGTCAACTCAAAGCTTGCTTTGGTCACTAAGAGTGGTAAATACGTCCTCGGAACAAAGAGCACATTGAAAAGCATTAGAGAAGGAAAGAGCAAATTGGTCATCATCTCTTCTAACTGCCCATCTCTTGAAAGAGCCCGTGTCGAGTACTACGCCGTTCTCGCTAAAGTCAATGTCGTCCACTACGCTGGAACTAACGTCGATTTGGGAACCGCTTGTGGACGTTACTTCGGTGTTTCTGTCTTGAGCATCGTCGATGCTGGTGACTCCGATATCATTAAGGCCGCTGAATAATTGGACTACTTGTTCCTTTTTTATTCATTTTTTTCTTGGTCTTATTATGTTATTTGTTCAATCTCTCAGGTCTGAGGTATTTTCCCTAAGATTTTTACTCCTTCAATTGTGTGTTGCAGGGCATAACCCTATTTGTTTTAAAGCAATTGGAGTGGCAATGACAGTGAATTTGCCTAAGATATAATGATGTAAAAACACAAGAATTCAATCACTTTTTGGTGTTTTTTCTTCCTTCTTTGAAGCGATCTGTTCGTGGATGTACTCTTGTTGTGCAAGCTGTTCAATGCATGACATAATGAAATAACCGATAACAATATACATCATTGCAGTCCACGCCATCCCAAAGACACCCTTCGACTTTTGTGCTGGACCTTTCTTGAAATCTTCCACTGTTTGGTCTAAAATCCTTTTCACAAAAGCAGCGAGTGAGTTCGAGACTAGGGCAAGGTAACTGATAAATAGTTCGAGGTGCTCTTTAGAAAATAAAGTAATGAAAAAGACGGCCTGAAGGTTCACTTTGATCATCGCCTTTCCTATTATAGTCCCTCCTAAAAAGGTCTTGAGTGGAATCAAGTTGTAGCCACAACACATCCCACACAAATCAAAAGCAGCATTGGGCCAAGCAGAAAGCGCTACTATAGCCCATACGCCATATTTGTCTACAGCATATACCATCCATAATTGCATCCACTGAATACACCGCGCGATTGGATTTGTTGGAGTCTCTTCTTTTAAGTGAAGCACCTCTCTGTTCTCCATACCCGCTTGTGCACTGGTGTATGCTATGAAGTAAGGCGGGATTTCACCAAAAGCAGTTCCAACCCCCCATATGAAACAAGGGATGGCAACTCGACAAAAGATCTGGAAGAAGGAAGGAATGGGGTTGTTGTCATCGACAGCAGACAGACACCGAAATGATGGAGTAAACCACATGTCGTTGAATGAAGTGAATTCCATCGACCGACACCCAGTAGCAGCAAGACAGACATGTAAAATGTGTGGGAACAAGAAGAGAAGACCAGTGTGCATACCGGTCCCAAGACCAACTGAAGACAACACACCAAGACCAAACCACCAGATGACGTACTTGATCACAAAATTGGTTGGATACAAATAGAATTCCAGAAACTCCGGCTCAACAAACGAAATAATGACGTGTGTGAGGACAAAAATAGCTAAGATATTGATCGCCCACGATTTAATAGAGAACTGCACTAACCTATTGACTTGCCGGAAAATGTACTGACAGAAATATTGGAGTGTTGTGATTGGGTGCGACAGAAGTGTGAGGGTTGTTGTTTTCTCAATATCCATTGATGTATATAAGTTCTATTCCAGTTTGTGATCTTTCCATATTTAACAAAGAATGACGTTTCTTTCTATATCATTTGCACTCCACTGAAATGGCAAAACTTAAAAAAAAGGGTTTCCAAATTGCCTTAAAAATATAACGAAAAAAGAAAACCCTATATTTAGGGTTTCTGAAACAGACAGACAGCACGGGAAAGAAATAGATTGAAACTGAGGAAAGAGCTTATTGGGCATGTCTAGCTTCTCTGAGTCTTCTGACAGTCGATCTAACAGTAGCGCCTGAAATTGTAGACATGGTAAAGGCACCACCAGCAATTTGCTTTTTGCAAGCTCTGCACTCCCAAATACCACAGGCGGTTCTCTTGACGGCTTCTTTGCAGCAGAATGGGCAGACGTATTTGGTGTGTTGGGCGATCTCAATTTTCTTGATCACCTTACGAAGAGAGGCACCGTATCTTGTTCCATATTTACCGACGATTCCAACCTTCTTAGTACGACGAGCCTAAGTTATTAGAAATTTTCATTCCAAAAATTTTGTACCTTGAGGAAAGAACAAACCATCTGTCCGACTTTCTAAGTTCGAGGGTTCTTTTTCTGACATTTTTTTACTATTCGTTTTAATTAAAAGTATTATTTGATATAGATTCAGGGAAGGTTTTATTTTTTTTATTTTTGTGTGTGTTTGAGATAATATAGTTTTAATTTATAATACATATTACTATTAAATAATAAAAATTATTAATAAAATATTAATAATATATAATATTAATTAATATTTTTTTTTTTCTACATTTATTAATAAAATATAAATAATATATTATTATAACTAAATAGTTTACACTCGACTATTTTTTTTATAAAAACTATTATTATGATAAATAATAATAGTTAATTATTTGTAGTAAAATTTTACTAATATTATTAATATATTAGTTAATATTTTAAACGTGTTAAACACAAAATTAATAATTAATAAAAGTAAGTTATAAAACACATCATTAGCATTAAATTTGTGGGTTAAATGCTTGAAATAATAAAACTTATGACATTTTAATTATTTTTAATAATACAGATGTAAAATACCTCGTTAATTAATTATAATATTTATTTAATATATTACACTTATTATTTCATTAATTTCGGCTAAATTTCTAAAGATTTTATTCTTAAAAACTTCTAATTTGAAAACTTTCACACCCAACCACCACTATTTACTGTTTTTCATTTTGTCTTTTCAAACAACTTGGACTAAGTTCCTCATTACAACAAAAACAAATCTTAAAAAATAGTTAAAAATAATAACATGATATAGTAAAACGATCTTAAGACAACAGAAAGTAGAAAATGTTATGAGAAGAGAAAAAAAGGTGAAGAAAGTGAGAGAACGCAGAAAGGAACTTGAAAAAGTGTAGGTAAAAAGAGAAGAGTTTTTGTGAGGGACAAAGACTAAAAATAACAAGAGGAAAACAAACGAAAAGCACTGCAAAATAAACAATCAAGGACATTGTATGTAATGGCAAAAAACCCGAGCAAAAGAGACGTTAAAACAAGCCCATTGTCTATTTTCGGAGAACAAGAAGGTGTTATCTTACGGTCATCTACTAAGCGATACCGCGTCATTAAGACCATTGGTTGGGGGACTTTCGGTATAGTAGTAGGTGTTAGTGATGAAGAACAACATGTCTTTGCTGTCAAACGTGTCCTTCAAGACCCAAAGCTGAAAAACAGAGAACTCTTCATACTCAATAAACTCAAACACACTAACGTCGTGGAGCTTTTAGACTCATTCACTACAACCCTTCCTGGAGTTTGTTTCTCTTTTATATCTCTAACTTACAATAATGACAATTTTACTATTCAAGTACTATTAAACTAGTATTATAATTTCGGTTGCTATTGAAACCCCACTCATATAGTTCATTTAACTTTATATTGTTATTATTGTATAAATACTATTACAAAGTTATAATTACTTCAAATTATATTAGAAGACTTTAATGCCCAACTTAACACCTTTTTTATAACACTTTTTTAAAGAATAATAAGAAGAAACGACGAATAGTATGAAGAGCAATGCTTAAACCTTGTGACAGAGTGTTACCCAGAGAGTCTGCACCAGATGTTACATGACTACACTGTCGAACAACTTCCTATACCTTTGGGGCACGTCCGGTTGTTCACTTACCAACTGTGCAGAGGGTTGTGCTACCTCCACAGTATGAACATCTGCCATAGAGACTTAAAGCCACAGAACATCTTGATTGATCGAGAGAAGCTCCACCTCAAGATTTGTGATTTTGGCGCAGCCAAAATCCTCGACGTCCAACAACCAAACACCGCTTATATATGCACCCGACACTACAGAGCACCAGAGTTGATATTTGGATGCATTAATTATACGACTGCTATTGATATCTGGAGTGTGGGGTGTATCATAGCGGAGTTACTGACAAGTCAAATACTCTTTAGAGGGATGACAACGTCGGACCAGTTATCTAAGATTATGGGAATCATTGGGTCACCCTCTGTCGAACAAGTCTTAGCAATGAACCCTGAAAGCCCATACACTAAAATACCTAAAGTTGAAGGAAAGGGCATCGATGAGGTATTGATGTACACGGACTCTCCAGATAACGCCTACGAACTCTTGCAACAAATATTCCAATACGATCCAATCAAGAGACCAACCGCTATGGATATCATGTTGAGCGACTTTTGTAAAGACATGTTCAGAGAACTTTTAAGATCAGACGGATTTGGCGACTGGACGGATTACACGGCGGACGAGTGGCTTCTTGCAGACGCCATCAAGAAGGTGGACGTTATGAAAACGTTCTGTATGCTCGACAAAAAACGACGAGATAGGTACACTAAGAAATAAAGCAAGTGTATGCGAGTTCTGGTGTTGTATAATGTTATATGATTATATGTGTTAACTCAATTGTGCTTCGTCTTTCCGTTTGTAACTGAAATAAGTGCCACCTGTTCTTCATAATTGGGTGTCAGTGTTATTCGTCCTTTTGCTTTCAAAAAGAGGAATTCATATGGAACTATATCAGTATAGTAAAACACTCTATTAATATAATTACAAGACAACAAAACACACAGAAATAAAATACATAAACTGAATAAGACAGTCAATGGAAGCGGAAATACAATTGGCACACTTTAAGAAGGTGCACTATGCTATTATTATAACGATGGCATTACTCTTTGTTTTGTTCTCGATTTTCATCGGCATTTTCGGACCTGATCAATATAACAAAACGATCGAAGGACCGTACGATATGGGAAACGGTCTTGTGCAGTACAAAGTGCGGAATTTGAAGAAGGAAACCGCTAGTATGAAAATGATATATACTGAAGATATTACCACTGATTTTGGTATTGGGGCGTTGAGAAATATAAATAAAGAACACAAACTAAGAGTCTCATTATACGAGGAGGGATATAACGAAACGCACGAATACAAATTCAAGTGTGTTTATAGTGGGTCGACGCGATGTGGAGAGTTAGTCATATTTGACCAACAGGTGTACAAAAAACAAAGCGATATGGACATCGCCGTGGTTATTCCCGATTTCAATGGAAGTCAAGTGAATTATACAGTGAATGGTTCGCTCATTATTTTAACGTCCAACCCGACATACGACCAAGCGAATATCATGTACAGTTTGGTGTTATTTTTGATATCGATAGTTATATTTGCTTTGTACGTTCTTATTGAGCTTCGATTTGTGCATAAGAAGGGAACGTACACCTCATTTCAATTTGTCATTGGGTTATTAGTGTTTGTAGTTGTAGGTCATTCCTTTCCATGGAATGGAGTTGCATATACGATTGAATGGGTTGGCATCTTTGCGGTGTCCAAAGCGTTCTACGCCATGTTTAATGTAGTCTTCTTCTGCTTCTTGTTTTTTGTCGACGACTCATTCACGAAACAAAACGGACAAGAGATCAGTAAGATGGCGTGGATCTTTCGAGGAGTGTTGTTAAGTTTGTTTATGATCATTCGAATAACAAACTCCGTGTTACATATTGTTGTTATAGAAGAAGCAGTGTTAATACCTACGACTCTCCCATATGTGGCTTCTTTCTATTTTGATATCATCGAAGAATTGTTTTACTTCTTCTTATACTCGTGGGCTTTATATATTCTTGCGATGACATACAACTTTGTCACTGTACCAGTCGTGCAAAAACAACTGTCGTACTTTGCGGGGTGCACAGGTGCTTTTATTATGTCTCAATTGTTTATGCTCTTCTTTTCTTCATTCTTCTCACAAAACACGTCCATCTCTACATACTTCCAAAGCGGGTCAATGCTCATTTACTTGATTGCTCTACTGAGCGCGTTCTTGCCTTCACTCTCACCAGTTAAAAATGAATGGTCCATTTTTTATAATGAAATGGAACCGGACAACATGAAGTTTGATGAAGACATTTAGAGTGTAACTATTTCTTAACTGAGTCGATTTGTGCTACACGTGTAAACTATATTTTATTATATTTTTACTATAATAAAAATAATTGTTTAAAAACAATGGCACTTGGGTGTTATTATGACAAATTGTAATCATTTTGTGTGGGAAACAAAAAAAAATAATTTATTATAATGTTTTAATATTTATTATAATTTTTTACTATCTTTCATAAAGAAAAGTTGAGGCAAATATTAAAGGTCAATATTTGGGAAAAGTGGGAAACTAACACACTTCTTTTGTTGGATAATATATTTAACGAGTTTGTTTTATATTATACCAATTAATAAATTAATATATATATAAAATAATAAATATTATTCATTACTTCAAATTAGAATAAAATAAAACAAAAAAAACCTCGTTAATTAAATGATACTGCTTTTACACTCTTTTGATTTTAATTTCACCCAAATATCACATTCTCAAATAATATATAGATATTATAATTTAGTTAATTATTATCATTTAAATATATCTAACGTATTAATCATACTAATTATGAACTACAATAAAAAACCATCAATCTGTTTTCGAGTTCTATAAACTTTTTGTGTACTAGAAAGACTAAAGAATGGCGTGTGATATGAAGTGGAGCCCAATATGGTTTGTACTCCTTGGCTTAGGTGCAGGGATCTTTTTGTTAGCCGGTGGGTGGGCGGCTGCTGTGTTTGCAGGTCCAATGATGAACATGGAACAAAACAACGCATTGAGTAAATCGTCGCTCAATTATTACTCCAAGAAAACATTTATGGTCGAGACGTTGACTCTTGCTTGTTTGATGGGATTGGTTGCAGCGTGTGTAGTCGTATATATATTCTTCCCAAAACAGTGGCTAAGCCTCATTACATACATCTTGATTGGTCTTTCTATAATTGCGGGGCTTACCACGGTCGGATATTTTGGGTACACTTATTTCTCGATGAGGGGAGCAACAAATAAATCCATGGTATCATCTCTCGCCTTGTGGGAAGAGAAGTTCGGGTGCTGCGGTTTGTTTTCAGTGTACGACTTTATCATGATTTAATAATATAGGATGGGACGACTTTCGACCACAACCACTCTGCGCGTCGGAGTATGGTAGTGTCAGTAAAACAACTTGCCAGAAGAAGTTGCAGCCAATGTTATGGTCATGTTTGCAAAATTTCGCAATTGGAACCGTTTTTTTGGTCCTTTTGATTGCAACACTGATCGCTGTCATTGTTTCGCAGGTTCATCAACCCAAAAAACTCGACCTTTTGGCAACAAGAACTTAATATCATTTAAACAACACTTTGTGGTTTATTGTATAATGAACTAAAGTAATGTATAATAAATTAGAATGAAAACATTTGAAACAAAGTTTGGAGCTCAAGTTGAGTTTTGGTTGTCAGATGGTACTTTTGCGAGATTTTGGCAATGTTCTCGAAAAAATCCTTTGTGAAAACCAAACGATTTGACCTTGCAAATTCGGACAAGATCTCGACAAACTGTGAAAACAAAAAATCCGAAAGGGAAATAATAGCCTGGAGCATCACAAAGAATGATGGTAGTTCTGACATGATAGACAAAAGTCTTTGTGAATAGAGACACTTTAACACAAATTTTGCTAACATTGTTCTCCTATCAATGTCAACGTTCTGGTCTTCGATCAAAAGATCACACATTGCAAATACTGAGAAGTTCATAAATTCAAAAAACTCGGGGTGATGTTCCGAAGATTTTACAATTAAAAACAAAAGATCCTTAAATTTTGAACATCCGTTTTTGTTGTAATAAGACAACGAATTGCACATCCAGTCCGCACATGTAGTGATGTACAGTCCGTTGAGAATGCCAGCAGAATAGAGTTCTAATAATTCAAGTAACGAAAGAACGAGTTTGGGAACCTTGTTGTACTCCTCAAAAAAGAGAGGAAGAACGTTTTGTAAAAAGAGTTGGGAGATGTAATTTGGTAGATACAAATACAATGAAAGAATATTGGCGATATCCCCCGCATTTCTTTCTTCAATAAAGTCGAGCAAATGTTCGAAAATCTCTTTTGAGTAGTCTGAAATTTTGATCTGAAAAAATTCATTTCCGTTCTCAATGCTTTGATAAAAATCGCCACATCTGCAGAGCCAATACACGGCCTCTGACGGGCTTTCTTTCATCATCGAAAAAGCGTTTTCTATCACGTTATCCACAATTTCTTTATTCTCTTCGTTCTTCGGTGTTTTGTTGGACGTGACTATATTAGTCAAACAGAACATCGCTTGTTTCTGCGCTGGAGTTTTTTTCCTGATACAGATATCAAGGCTATTAATACACCCAAGTGCAACGAGAAAGTGTGTTCCGTTGTCGACTGCTGAGATGTTGATCATGATGTTCAAAATAGTACTTTGAACATTATAAGGTACATCGTTGAGTTTCATGATGGCCTTCGAGAGTAACCCCGAAGAGAGAAACTCCTCTGATATTTCGTTTTTTCTCGTCTCAACTTCGGCTACGTTCCACAAAGATTGAAGCCCTGTCAACTGCTCACCAATCAAATCTGAACTCAAAAGATCTGCTATTTCTTCATAACTTTTCAAAAGTTTTGTGTCCATCGATATGACTCTCTTTTTTGACAAGAAGATTGCGCGTTGCGAATCTCTCAAAACTTTCAAATCTTTCTGTCTTTCTTTTGCGATCTCAGATAATTTCAGTATTTTTCTCATCTTTTTTTTTGAGTTGTGTTTTGTTCCCAATCTTTTTAACTTAGTTTTTATTTTTTTCACTTATTATTACCTTTTAGTAACTATTATTGATACTTTCTAATTTCGAGTTTTTTTTAATCGACCAAGAAATCTTAATAGTATATTAATAAATAAGCTATAATGACTAGTAAATCAAATCAATCTTGTCAAGATCAAAAAAATGAGAACAGAATAAAACCAGTTATAAACCGTATAAAAAATCGGGAAATTGGTCTTAAAACAATTCGATGGCACATTAGCAGCTTGAGAAAAAAAATAAAAAGATCCAAAGGAAAAAAATAGATGTATTCGATCGACTGGAGACTCACTCAAGTCTTTGGAGGGGATCGAGCGATACAAGACGACATTAGTGATCAAGACACGGTGTCGACAATCGAGTTCTCACCCAATGGTGATTTTCTTGCCGCGGGTGATTATGGGGGGCGTGTTGTGTTGTTTAAGAAATCCAGAAACGACGAACTTGGGAAAGTCGATTTTAAGTTTTGGACCGAATTCGCGTCCCACGAAAAAGAGTTTGATTGCTTAAGAAGTATGGAAATCGAAGAAAAGATTAACGTCGTCAAATTCGTCCATCAACCCACTGACGATTTAACTCTTTTACTAACTACTAATGGTTTGTTTCGTTTACTATATTTTTACTATAATTTTACCACTCAATTTACTTTTCTTCGTGACATACTATTCAACTCTAGATAAAACTATTAAGCTATGGAAAACAGCGTCGAGGACTATGTACACAACTCACTATAAACACGGTTCGGAAGTCCCGGAATACGTCCCGGACCAACAAACGATGTTCCCTGAAGCTAAACAAACGTTTGGGAATAACCATGGGTACCCTATACATTCATTGTGTCCGTTGGCTGATATGGAAACGTTCTTGTCTGCTGACTTCCTTAAGATTAACTTATGGAATTATAACCATGCAGACTCTTGCTATAGTTTGTTAAATGTATTTATACTCTTGTACAATTGCGAACAATAGTAATGAATAGACTTGGTCGAATGGAACGTCGACGATTCAAAGGAACTCATCACTTGCGTCGAAGTGAAAGATGGGAGCGACCACATCTTCACGTATGGTTCGTCCACAGGAACAGTTCGTTTATGCGACATGCGTTCAACAAAGACATGTTCATCAGCGATAAAGTGTTTGTTATCTTTGTTGTTATTCATTTGCAATTTCTAGTTAACAGTTGAAGACATGAGAGACTTATTATATAGGTTTTGTGAACACCGACGATTACTCTGCTAACCCACAACGCCAAGAATCATTCCCATCTATCTCATCAATTAAGATGACGAAAGATGGCAACGCTTTAGTCGTGCGGGATTACCTTTCAGTGCGAACGTTTGATCTGAGAAAAACTGAAAGTCCAACCACCGTCATTCCGATCCACGACCACCTCATTTCGCGATTTTCGGAGTTGGAAGCAAACGACGTTTTGTATGACAAATTTGATCTTTCATTGGACGGGACTGACCAATACTGTGTGACGGGGAGTTATGACAGAGAGTTCATTGTGCATGACCTGAAGAATAAACAGACGCTGCCTTTGTTATCACACCGTTTCCAACCCCGCGTACTTGCACCACTCCCACAAACCATCCCGAGAAACCAATTGCAACAAGAAGGCATGAGTAACACAAAACTCTTAATGAAGTACGCCCCAAGAGAACATATGCCAGGGATGCCTATAGATTATTCAGCTCGTGTCTCCCTCACTCGTTTCCATCCCAACGATAACTTAATTGCAACAGCTGTCAGCAACAACCTTTATATTTTCAATGGGTACTATACACAAGGCTGAGCGCTTCTTATTTAATGCTTTGTTTCATTGTGCCTTTATTGAGGCTTGAATTTACTTTTTTATAAAATACATTAAAAGTAAAGTTTGGAATTCTATACAAATTAACATACAATTGAACGGAAATTTAATTAACTTTGCTTTTATCAGAACATGAAATCCAATTCGCGAGTAAAGGTATAGTAAATTTTATTATAAATTAAAATCACTAGAAGATACTATATACATAGTAAAAATTATTTAAAAAAACAACCCCCAACACTTTTTTTGAGGAAAGAGAAAAGAGAAGGAAACTTGGAAAATAGAGGGAATGACGTCGACGATATTCCAACTTAAGAAAGCAAGTGCTGTGAAGTTTGTGGGAGTGAAAAACACAGGACTTCCCCGAGAGAGTCTTGATAATAAAATGAAGGAGGTTGGGGAGTGCCTTGTGCAAATAGTCAATCACGAGAAACCAAGATTGCCATTGGACTTTATTTATAGCGATGTGCTTGATATTTGCTATGCACCGAACAAAGAAACGATTGAAAAGATGATAGGGCTTGTAGACACCATTCTGAATGACTTAGCAAAGAAGACAAGAGCACATCTCAGTCTCGACGAGTCACTTGAGAATTTGAATTTGAATTATTTAGAATTTTCAAAGACGTTGCGACTGTTAAAGAATTTGTTCATCCCATTTGATAGAGTCTCTAAAGTGCAACCGATCTCAGT